CGTATTTTGGTCTGTACTGATGGTGCTCTGTGCATGGTGGGGAAAAACAGAGGATTCGTAGCGCTTCTTCATGAACATGAAAAGAGAGCCATCCTAAGGAGGCACTTTTTCTCAGACTGGTCATTCGGGTGGTCAACTTTATTGGTGCCCGAGCTTTAAATGAACGCCAGTTTAAAACACTGCTGAATAAAGTTGGGAATAATTATCTTGATGTTCTTCTGCACAGCAATGTGCATTGGTTGTCAAGTGCTCAGCTGTTTCACCTCTTGTCTGAGCGAAATCTGGACTTTTCTTGAAATGAAAAATGGTGAGCATCATGAGTTAGCTAACACTGAGAGGCGCCTTAAGTTCTACTATCTTGTGGACATGACTGAACATGTGAAAATGCAAGGCGTTGGAAATGCATTCTTATCCCTTCAACAAGCAGTGTTTGCGTTTGAATCAAGCTAGAACTCTTTGTCAATGACATTGAAACAGGTCGTTTACTACACTTTGAAAAACTGGGAGAGTTTAAAGATGCATTAGAGATGGTCTGCTAAAATGCCATCTGCCTGTCTAAGGATGGTCTGTTCTAGTAGTTCTTGAGTGTTTATAGGAGCTGCCATGCCCATAATCCTCCCTGCTGTCTTATCAAAGTTGAAATCTGATCTTTTGCTTTTACAGTTAAATTACCTTACCTTAAGATAACAATCAGGCAGAAAGTGATAACCACCATCATGAAGCCACATTTGTGTGACTCTGGTTTTTAGTATTATTAAGCCAGCCAATGCAAAGCTGACTATGTCAGTCTGGCTTGTTAGTACACCCCTCAAGTGTTTTGTTTGCTTATTGTGTTATTTTGTGTGTGTTCATGCCACTGTTGTGTAAACTTTATGTGCATACTCAATCATATTTAATTTTCTTATTGAACAGTGAAAGAGAGCGAGACCTGCAGCTTGTCAGAGATTACAAGCCTCACAAAGATGTTGAGCATCTCAGAATTCTGCTTCATGGACCACCAGCTGCTGGAAAGTCCAGCTTCATCAACTCTGTCGACAGTACTTTAAGAGGCAAAACCACAGCTCGAGCTTTGGCAGCAAATGCCCCCAAAAGTTTCACCATTGCAGTATGTATAAGGATGTATCTATTCTTATCATAGTTGCTGTTACAGGGTTAAAAAAAACACATTTTCTACAAGGCTTTCTAGGACTACAGGAGGGCACTGCAGCGGTAACTGCTTTGTAGAAATTGAACTAGAAAAGTAGGATAGTAGGTGCAACTATAGTGTAAACTATTCTGCAAATACCAAATTGTTTAGGTTCTTTAATATCTGGCACTGATATAACAACACTATATATTTTTTTTATTTATAGTACAGGACATATAAAATTCAGAAAGGAAATCCAGACACCTTTTACCCTTTTGTCTTCAATGACACCATGGGGCTTCAGTCCAGTGACGAAGGAATTCGCGTGGAAGACATCAAACTTGCCATCAGTGGACATGTCAAAGAAGATTACAGGGTATGATGTTTTCTTTCAGATGTTTGTACACAGTCTGTGATACAGAAATTGTATCATGCAAAAAAAGTTTCAGTGATTTTGCTTTTTTTCCCCAGTTCAAACCCACATCTCTCTTGCATGAATCGGATCCTAACTACAACAGTTCTTCTGTTTTCAGTCATTTTGCTCTTGCATTTTTTTCCAGTTCAATCCCAAATCCCCTTTGCCTGAAACAGATCCTAACTACAGAGGCTCCTACACATTTAGATGACCAAAGTGCCACATTCTGGGTTTTTGTCATTTGTGGCTAAACTCAGTGAGCTTAATTGATGATGCGCACTTGAAAATA